GATGACTCATGATTGCGTTATCTGTTGTTGACTGCAGCTGCTGAGGGTGGACAAGAACAAGCTGGAGAGGCAGATGCAGATGATTCTCCCAGACGTGGCTGGGTGAGTGAACCACAAATAACCTGAAAATAGAAATTTGAGTTTAAATGTTTAGACTGAGGATTGAGGGACAACTAAGACAAAATGGACTGAAAAGTTTTATTTTGTGTGCACATAGATTCATCGTCACTTTTTCTATTAAGTGTCCTTTTCTTAACTTGAACATCAATTCCCTTTCTCCTGTCTCTTGCAGGGCTAGTCTTTCTTTGTCAGTGGCTTATCGGATGAACCAGAGCAGCTCGGGATCCTTGCAAACAGAACTGGCTCTGGCACAGTCACCACTGGAGGTCAGCACTCTCATGCTCTGTCTCATTTATTCATCTTTCTTGTATGCCTTGTATTACTGCCACTGCTACCTGCTTTCTGCTGCTGCTTCATTAATGTATCCATCTAGTGTTGTTTTAGCTTGAAGTTTGATGTTTACTCTTATTTCTTTGCACAATGTTCTCAGTATCTGGTCTTTTGCTTCTGATAGTGAACAAACTGTTCTTTGATGATTAGTCTTTTCCAGAGTGTCTCACATAATCGGTACACATTGCAAAGCAACAAAAACCGCTGTCCTAACATCTGATGCAGCCATTCACAGACCACCTTCTCTGCAATAATAATTTTTAAGAAAGCCTTTGACTTATTCATATAAATCTACTGCCCCTGTCTACAGGCTCCCCATGGAGTTGACTATTTGTCCACTACAAGCTTTGCCTCCCCACTGGATGAGACTCTGGACAGGGAGGTGCTGCTGATGCTGCAGGGACCCAGCCCTGAACACATGGCACTGGAGTTCAAAAACCTCATAAATAAACTGGTAAACCAGTCTCTCTTATGTTGTGTAACAGTCAGCGTTTGCACCTATTTGGAATTTGAGGTGTAGAGATGAAGGGTTGAGTGATCCTGTCTTGAAGTATTCCTCTTTCACTTTTGTCTCTCAGAAAAGGGACTTCAGAAAAGAAACCGACTCTGTCTTAACTTCAGTTAGAGTTTTGTTAGATGACCACGCACAGACAGAAGGCGACAGCAGTCTTCAGGTGAGACACATTCACATTTTGAACTTTACAGTCAGCATCAGCCTAGCTATAACGCTGTCAGTGTTGACCACAGAATAAGTGTCTGTGTACGTTTCTGGGTCTGAGTAATTCAAGTCTGCAGATGGCTATACTTTTTAAAATATGAGTCATAAAATTATATAAATTATTCTTCCTCCACCTGTTGCTCTCTTTTTTTCCATTTATCACAGCCTATCTGCTCTTTCTATCCTTCCCACCCACCATTTCTGGTCTCGAGAGCTCTCACTTATATAACTCTCCAACAGGCCCCATCCAAGCAGTGCTGTTTAGTCACTGT